ACATACATACATACATACATACATACATACATACATACATACATACACACATATATATATATATACATATATACACACACACATATATATATATACATATATACACACACACACACACATATATATATACACACACACACATATATATACACACACACACACACACATATATATATATACACACACACACACACACACACACACATATATATGTAGGTAGGTAGAGATGTACACACACTAATACGGAAATGTCAACAGAAACTTCAGTTTCAAATAATCCTTATTTTCACATTTAATGAAGGAAGTCTTGTTCATTCATTCATTCAACCTTTATTTATCCAGGTTAATCACAGGTTGCTGATATATTTGCAAAGATTTCTGTTGCAAGATTAAATTTCTACAAAATATTAACTACTGTAGTTTCAAGTCACACCAATCCCTGATGAATTTAGAACATGATGCCGTGTCAAGAATTAACATTAACAACATAAAATGAGATCAAACACATATGCAAATTTAAAAAACAAGTTGATTTAGTTAATATCATAAAACTGCAGTTCTTATTTGCCACCTGCAAATACCAGCAGTGGTCATACAGATTGCTTTAGAGCTTTATACTAATCGGGATTGTGATCCAGTTCACAAACATTACATATGAATAATTTAAAGACTGGAGACTGGAGAAACTTCAAGTTTAACATGCAACTTGCAGGTTAACGGCACCGAAATCTAATCTGTGAAATAAAAACACTCCTATTTATACTTACAGTAACATTTAAATGGGGGGGTTAGGATTAGGAACTCAAGTGCCTCATATTTTAAGTGGCACTAGACCTAAATTGCACCCTTGTCAGAAGATAGACGCAGCTGTATAAATAAATATCATGTGCTGGTGTAAGCTGTCCTGGGACGACCGCTGCTGCCAGCCTTACAATAATTTATCACTTATTTGAGTTTCCACAGCGTCTGAAGGGGATCCACCGCCAACTCCTTAGCGACAGCAGCACCGGTGGGGTGTCAGAGATTAAGAGAAGGCGTCTTTTTATAGGACATGTCATTAACACAGGTTTGCCAGATATATTTATTTACACAAGCAGCATAAATAGTGAGCCCTGATTATGGTGATCTGGTTTCATGGGTTTGGGGCGGCAGAGCGGCGTGGGCCTCAGGTGTTTCCTCCTTAATACTCAGACTTCTCTTCTGGATTATAAAGCACAGAAAGATACATGGATGAGCTCACTCACCGTTACATCAGCTGTTAACCGAAACAAAAACCGTGCTTACGTCTGCCAAAACATTTTAATAGATGGACTTAAAATATAAAAGCCTGAATGTTTTAAAGCCTCTCTGTAGCAACAATTGCATTTTGGGTGTTCGGTTATAAATTTCCAGTGTAACTCAAACAACGTTGTTTAACTATCTGAACTTCATTTATATTTCAGAGCATTACCTTATGGCCAGTTGAAACAAGTTTGTATTGTTTCTAGGATAATGTTCAAGGGTATGTTTTTCAACAAAATAAGATTGAAAAATTGAAGGTGTATTGTGACCTTATAACACTTGACAGTGTCGCTTATAAAACTGTCAAATGGCAAAATCGGAATCGGCAGGTCAGACTTTTTAGAAATCTGTGATCGGCCAGAAAACTGCAATTGGTGCACCGCTATCATGTTTATCAACTAATTTTCTTCAAATTGTCTCTTTAATGCAATGGAAATAGTTGTGTAACATAAATACTTGAAACCTGTTCTTTAATATACAGTTTTTTATACTTTTAAATATGGGGTATTTTTCATTCAAGACACTTAATTAACAAAAATTAAATTCAAAAACAAAACTGAACAGAGTCATAACAGCAGTAGTCATATAAAGTAACAGGGCTTAATTTGTAAACCGGTCGATTCTGGAACGCAAATGGGGTGGGCCGACGGGGTGGGGTGGGGGGGTCCTCCCCCAGAAAATTTTGAATAAAGTAGATGTGATTTCCTGCATTTTGGTGTATTTTAACGAGTTGTTAAACATCTACGTGCTTGTCAAAAAAAAAAAAATTGGTGGACCCCCAGGGGTCCGGGGACCCCAGTTTGAGAGCCACTGTCTTAAAGGGAGAGTTGTGAAGTTGGGTTCTGTAAAACAGCGGTTACTAACCACCAAGCCAAGGACCAGTACCGGGCCATGGATCACTTGGTACTAAGCTGCACAGAAATAATAAAAACATAAAAATAAAATAAAATCTGTAAGTTTAATTTTATTTTTCCTTAAGGTATTTTATTTTGAAAATGGACCATTTTCTTTCTCGCCTCATTGTTTTTGTAGTTCAGCTGTCTTTGCTGATTTGTTTTCCTCTTCTTTTTTTTTTTTTTTTCCTTTTACATACACAGCTGAAACCTCTGGCTCGTACGTAGTTTATTTAAATATAAAAACCTTTATATTTCCTTTACCTTGACTATTTATCATTATCCTGATGCACAAGCTTTTTTTCCCTTTTATCTAACAACCGTTCTGTCTTTTTCTCTTACAGTTCTACATAAGTGTTGCTTTTATGTCTGCTTTGAGCATCCTGAGTGTAGTTTTGGACCCTCCGCCACATCTACCTGACCTGTTTCCTGTCCTGGTGTCCATGACTTCTTTCCTCCAGTTCTTGGGAATATTTATATATTTTAACATTCTTCAACTCAGTGGGCCCCCCAGCAAAAAGAGCCAGAAGAAACACCAGTAAAGTCAGTGTTATACTGTGAGGTGTCTCAGCTTTTCATAGGACTTTCTTACTTTATTTTTTTATAAAAGTAAAAATTGAACAAGTGCTTCTTAAAGGTTTCACTACAAATGACATCAAGTAAAAGGAAGGAGTTCTGAGATTATCCAATATGGACCAACAAATGAAAAAAGGAGTTTTCTTTATCAAAACAAGATTTGAACTTTAAAAACAACTTTCTCGTGAGTCATGTGAACTATTTTTCTCAAATTGTTTTTGCTTCTGCTAAATGTCAATTTAAAGATAAACAGAGGCTGCCATTGTTCAGCCTACACTCATGACTTCACCTTGCTACAATAATACGAACTTGCAATAATGTGAAGTTATTGTTAAAAAAGAAAGACGTGTGAATTTAATTTTGCAGTTATTCTTAAGGCCATTGTTTGTGTTAGTGGAGGTATTCCTGACATTTTGTCCTCTCTTGGTGTTGGGGATTGTGATAAACACATATTTAAAGGACTGGACTTGAGTCTGGCTGTCTGGACCAATTTGTATTCATAAAAATGTGACAATTTTTCTATCATGTAATTGTACATGGCATTAAAGTTATTTTCTACAAACTTTGAATCGGTGTCTTTCCTAAAGCTATAAAAGAAACATCATCTTTATCACTGCATTTATAAATGATTTCTTTCAAACCAGCTTCATAGAAACTGTCTGGATTAGCTAAGTAACCTCCTAAATCACCCCAAAACTCTGCCAGACAGAGCCAATAATTGGACAGAAATTATGTCTTTCCAACCTTTTACTCAACATCATTAAATATTAATTATGATTCCTTGATGCTACAAGGTTTCTCCACAAAAAGACCGATTCATTTAAAATCAAACTAGTGAAACGACAAGCCTTAAATGGGTTGATGGGAGGTGACGTCTGTCTGAACATCGTGCTGTAAAGTTGAAATACCACCAAAAAAAAAAGGCACAAGCAATTTCTTCAGTCTTTCTGAGTCTTAATGACAGGCATTAAAAAAATCCATTACAACTATAAATGTTATCAGGTCAGAGAGGGGTGCCTGGGCAACAGTGGCTGTGAGCCGGCAGTCGGTGACCTACAGGGATAATCTGCAAGTTACCTGGTAAAGATGAACACAGGAAAACACGCCTATATATATATATATATATATATAGATAGATAGATAGATAGATATGTGTGTGTGTGTATATAAACTTTTTTTAATCTAAAATGTCATCCACAAATAATTATAAAGCAAATCATTTAGATTTCTTTACACAAATTACAAGTTAAAGACTTTTATGTAGTAGTACTTTAAACTAAAAACTTTAATAGAACCAGAAGCTCAATACTCTGCAGCATACATTATGACTATTTTCAACCCTAAACAATACAATATACAGTATATATGCACAATATTGGAAGTTCTGTTCAGAGTATGTGTTGTGAATGACTCTCAGCTACTACCACATCTAACTCTAGCTCAACAGATGCAAATTTGATTAGTTATCGCCATGCTTGTGTTTTCTAAGAGCAGTTGACTGTGGTGGCCATCTTGATTTAGGTTGACTACAAAAGATAATCTGTTAGAGCTCAGAATATTATTATTATTATTATAAAGTTTATTCATTTTTTTTAAACAAAACAATTCTATATGCAATAAAAAATACAATCACCAATAAAATGAAAGGCAGCAGAAAGAAGAAAAAATCTTAAATCTGCCCCTTTTTACCAAAAAATTTTTTAAATAATAATAATCTTCAAATAACAAAAACAAAATAACTCCTTCTCAAGCAACAATTCATACAAATACGCATTAAGCGAATTTCATTTTTTTTAACAAACCAACTTTGATCATTCTCTTAAACATGCACATAGATCTGGCATTTTTAACATAACTCTCCAGATTATTCCATAATCTAATTAATTAGAAAGAAGTAAACCGTCCCTCCAAACTAAATTTAGGTTTCACAAATATCTCTATCCCCTTAAGATTATAACAACTCTCTCTTTTAACAAAATTTTATTGGATATTTAAAGGTAGTGTGTTTCTATGAGCCCTATACATAACTGATAAAATATTATAATCTACCAAATCATGAAATTTCAATAACTTCAGTTGATAAAATAATGTACTTGATGGGTGACTGAAATGCTTCCTGGTAATAATTCTTACAGCTCTTTTCTGTAAAACAAAAATAGGATTTATAATTGTTTTGCACGCTTTCCCCCAAACATGAATACAATAGATTAAGTTTGGAACAATTATTGCATTATACAACATATACAGAGCTTTATCATTTAATAACACCCATATTTTGTACAGTGCTGCAATAGACCAGCTATTTTTATTCTTACATAGTTTGTGATGTTTCCATGTCAGCTTTTCATCAGAATATGTCAGGGATCAGTCTCATCTACTACCACACAAAATCTTAGGTCCACATTTGTAAGAATAACTGAGTTTTAGCCATTCTTGTACGTTATTTAAGGTAATTTTGATGGGCAAGTTTTAAAATTTGCCCAGAGATTCATGAGATATGCCAACAGAAACACAGACATAGACAAAAACATTATTGCCCACCTTCACCTGTTGGTGTGCAGGGAATAAATATTAGCACCCAAATCTTCAGCTCACTTTTGTTTGGGACCACAACCTGCAGTAAAATCCCTCTTGTAGGTCAGACATGTTTGTGTAACGTGTCCAAGTGGTCAGAGGATATTCAAAGCTCCATGACTCCTTCAGTCAGCTGTAAAGGAGGTTTGTATCAAAACATTAGTTTTATTTATGGGCCTGCTTGCTTCGCCCTTCACGTGGCCTCTAACAGTGATAAAGTGAGAGTTACACGATCCACCATCGGCAGAAATAGGAAATGTTGCTGTGAACGCCAGCTGTTGCTTGGGTCGAATGGGGCAGCGAGAGGCCTCGGCCTTCCCAGGCGCTGCCAAATAAAGGGTCCGCACTGAGCTGAGGAAGACAGCTTCCCTCCCACGTTTACTTTTCAAAAGGTGGTAAACCTTACGCAGATGGGGAGGATTGCACAGTCATAAATACGAAAAAGGGTTGTCATCTAAAAGAACATTATTTGCACAACGTTGCAGCTTTGCGTTTAATGTAGAATCAACTTTTGTCAGCTGCCAGAACGAGGCTCGTTCTCCTGTTTCAGATGCTTCTCTGACGTCCTCCGTGACTGCTCTGCTTCACAACTGACAGCACAGATTCCTCATTCGTCTCCTGCCTTATCTCCTCAGGATCATACGCACCGGGGGTGAAGAGCAATTTCATTACCTGTCAACGGCTGAGATGCCACTCTGACAAAAACCAGGGGAATATGGAGGAGGAAAACATGATAACCTCTCTCAACAAATGATATTACAAGCACTGCGGTAACTGTCGAGGCTGAAGGTTTGTGGAAAGAAAAGACGCCTTTTTGCATAAACAAGTGCTTTCTGTTGATGGTGAAAGGGGTTTTTCTTAGTCTTTATATCTCACTCAAAATTTAAGTCAAGATGGATTGGTGTACTAGCAATTCCTTCGCTTGAAACCAAAAGTTATGCAAAAGAAATGTAATTTTAAGTCAAACAATGTTGGACAAAAAAAGCTTAATTTTGACCACAGAAACTTTTATCTATTAAGTATGATAAACACACACAGCAGTCCTTGAAAACACACATATCACCCATCAACTGTCATGCTAGACTTTTAGTCCAAGATCATATTATGCTGAGAAATTTCATAGTCAACCCACGGTGTCATTGTGCCCGTTGTGATTCTGTCGGCGAGTGTGAGCCCAAGGTACAGCCAGGCACAGGACACTCGCAGGATGACTAAGAATAATATTTATTAATTCAATTCAATTCAGTTTATTTATATAGCGCCAAGTCACAACAGAAGTCATCTCAGGGCACTGAACAGACACATTCATATGTCAAAATAAGTAATTGGCAGTAAATTAAAGCCACCACCAGCCAGTGTACCTCTCCGGTCCCAAGCCGGGGTAAAAGGTGAGGGTTGTGTTAGGAAGGGCATCCGACGTAAAAGTCTTTTGCCAAAATTAATATGAGAGTTCATCTTACCGTTCAGCATACCGGATCGGTCGAGGCCCGGGTTAACAACAACTGCCACCGGTGCTGTTGACAAACAGGGTGCTGGCAGAAACTGTGCTACTGTTAGTCAAAGACCACGAGGAGGGAAACGTGTCAGGAGACAGAGAGAGAAGAGGAAAGTCAAGAATGTAGAACTTTGAGTGACAACTCTAAATATAGGGTCAATGACAGGCAAAGGTAGAGAGCTGGCTGGCATGATGCAGAGAAGGAAGGTAGATGTTTTATGTGTCCAAGAGACCAAGTGGAAGAGCAGCACGGCTCGCAGCACGGCTCGCAGCATTGGAGCAGGGTTTAAACTGTTTTACCATGGTGTGGATAGAAAGAGAAATGGAGTAGGGGTGGTCATGAAGGAGGAATTGGCAAAGAAGTTTGCAGGTATGAATGAAACAATTTTGTTAGAAAGTTTTAGAAAATAAGCTTTTCTCTACCCTTTATTTACCCTTTAAAAATAAAAAAATTAAAATGAGCTGAATGAGCAGCCTACAAGACTGGGGATATATTTCTGTATCAGTAAATATGAAAATCATGTCAGCTAAAAATTAAAAAGTCATGAACATGTCTCGACAAAACTGGTTTTTAAATTGAGCCAACTGCAACGATATGAGGTGTATTCCTTTTTATTATCACACAATGGAAAAGCAACCATCAGTAATCGCCAAATATACTTCTATTCACTGAAAATAAAACAAGCTGATGAGGCAGGAATACTCACAGGGAGCTAGGAGCGAGGAGACACGAAGGGAGCAGAAGCAAACGCCTTTACAGGACAATCCACGGACACAGGGAGAGATGCAGAATTATATGCAAACACTAACAAACAAACAATGACAAATACCTGGGGAAGGACAACAGGTGGCAGAGGCAGGAGATGATTACAAGAGGAAGAAGGAGAGCAGGACAGA